AATCTAATGCGGATTTCAAAATTTCAATTGCTTATAAACACTATAAGATTTTATGAACAAAAATATTAAAAATTTTAAAAATTCTATCAAAATTTATATCAAATGTGTCATATAGATGTAGGACGTTTCATGTGTATCTTATATTCATGTGAGATATTTGATAGAAATTTTAATAGAACTTTTAAAATCTCTAACATTATTCTTCCATAAAATTTAATTGGAGATTCTTTTTACGAGAATATAAAATAGACAAATTATTTTATTATATATTGGGTGGACAAATATTTTATTGTTATAATTACCCGTCAATCATGCTGCTTTAATTGGAATTTTGTTCTCCAATCCATTACTGTAAATGTTGTACCATTTTTACTAGTACTATGATATATATTAGGTTGCACTTGCAAAACTTTCAATTTGTCATTTATTCGTTAAATTGATAGATTGGATAAAATTAATTCGTATCAGTTCGTTAATCTAGTAGATGTGGATTGAGCGGATTGACGAATAGATACGAATCGATTTAGCGGTTTAAAATTTTATAAATTTTTAACATAATTCAACTTGTGCACTTCTTAAAAACAAAAAAACAAAAAATATTACAATCAATAACTTAAAAAAAATATTACAATCACTGTATGCCTCATACAAAAAAGAAAGTTTGAAATTTTAGAATATTACAATCACTACATGCCTCATCTACACATTACAATCACAGCATGTCTCATTCAAATAAAGTATTACAATATATGTAGTCCTTAAAATATAAAAACAATTCAAACCATCAAAACCATGAACAGAGTAGTAGTAGAAACTATATACCTCTGTATTGTTACATCTATATTTGTTTTTGAAAACAAAAACCAATCAGCATATATCATCCTTTTTATTTATTATTTTTAAAATTAAATTTAAAAATCAAAAAATATAAATAAATAATGCATTTATTTTTTGAATTTAAAAAATATATTCAAGTTGAAAACTCTTTTTCAACAAAATATTTGAACTCTTTTTCAATTGAGAACACAAACAGTCTAAACAAATTGATAACACAAAACCTTACAAATTACTAAAAATGCTCGCAGTTTGGCAATTCTGTTGTAGCCAAATGAACCTCAAATACGTCATCCGTCCAAAACTAGGCACATTAAAAAAAATTAATTCGCAACCATTCGCTCGTCATCACGCATCCGTCCAAAATACAACGGATCGATTTAGTTCGATCGATTTAGACGAATCGATATATCCATTTTTCACCTCTAATATATATCAATACCGCTATATTTTTGGATATCTGATTGTTACAAATATAATATTTATTAGAAATATTTATTTATAATTTTGATACAAAAATACTTTTCCACAACATAAACGCAAGCTCAAATACCAAGACAAACTTTCAATTTTGGAGACTATGCTACTTGAGAAGTGAATTTTTTAGTGATTTTTTTATTAAAATATAAAATGAGTGTAAAAAAATATTTAAAAATGACTTTTTAATTTTTTATATATAAAAATGAGAGAGAGAGATTATTTTTGACTGTTTATACACATATAAAATGTAGAAAGGAGAAAAATTCTGACTTTCTTACCTTTTGACTATTTTTAATGACTTTTTAAATCTTTAACTAAAATTGATCAACACCACTACAGGGCTCGAAAAATCAAAGGTTCAAATGGCTCGAAATCTCAAAACGACGTCGTTTTAAGACTTTTTTTTATTCTCTTACCGGTAAGATAATATTTTCCGCATCATTCGAACCTCAGTTTTTCAGGCTACGGAGCATTTTTGTAAAATTGATGCAAGTATTATTTGAATATTTGTAGTGAAAAATGTTAAGAGAAAAATTATGATATTTGTTATGACCGTTGTGGTTAATAAAGGATACATACAATACTCCCTTTCTTAAGGGTGCACCATATAGTAGCTCCCTACATAATTATACAAAAATATAAACTGTCTTTATAGGATACCAAATACAACTAAAAATGGTTCAAGTGTAAGAGCGTTCAGTCAAATAAATATCAGAGGGTTCCCTCTACCCATATAAATAGAGGAACTTGAGTGAAACTATTGAAGAAATCTACTACCATGATTCCTATTAACATAACATCGATTAAATGAACGATTCTGAAGTTGACAAATAGTGATTCCCATCGAGTGTAAAGTTGACAAAATAGTGATTCCTATTAACATATCGTCAATTCAGTGAACCATTCTTAAGTTGACAAATAGCAATGGCCAAAGTGACGAGTTGCTCTATCAGCCCCTCAAACCAATCCCCAAACATTTTCGTTCACAAAAAGCGACTGGAAAAATCACTAGCATGATTTCTATTAACATATCGTCGATTCAACAAACAATTCTGAGATTGACCAACAGCAATGGCAAGGCAATGAGCTGCTCTGTCACCACATCAAAGCAAACCTCCAAGCGATTTTTTTTGTTTCAATCGACAAAGCTTGAAGTGTTGGAATTATGCCTCTAGTTGTACATCCCATGTAACCGCCACAAGCTTCAAGTACCATAAGGAATCGACCAAGGCTCTACGTAACAAAAAATGTAAAGCGCAGAATCTAAAGCAATACAAACACAACTCTTCAACAAATTTGTTAAATCCTATGATTGCTAAAATTATAAGAAAACGGTAAAGAACTCTCAAAAGAATTCCAGGACAAAATTGAAGAGCCCTAAAGATTACAACTTTATTCATAATAATATAAATCCAATTAGGGAATACTAAAAAGGGAAAATATATATTAGGAAACTAATGATCAGTCTTGTAGATCAAGTAATACTAATTACAGTAGAATAGTATAAATACCAAACAAATACTAATTCTAGACAACTCAACATTAAATCGAAATATTCATAATCAACTAAGAAGCACGACATACGGATACGGATACGGATACAGATGCAGATGCGGACACGGATGCAAACAAGGGACACGGCGATTTCAAAAAAATTGAGACACATACATGACAGAGACACAACAATAAAATATTTTTTCATATATTTTTATTTGCTTTTTAGATTAATATTACATCCACAAGCAATCAACATTCACAAAAACTAACTCTAATTCTATTTTATTATTTTTTCTTAAAGCACATTTAAATGAACACTTATAGTTTATATCTTTTTTTATGAATGATCTATTAAGTATTTAAATGTAAGAAAAAAATAATAAACATTTAACATTCATCAAAAGCACTAAATAAAATGAGAAAAAAGACAACTTGACATGTTCCTAGTGTGTCCCCGAAGTGTTCTAGGTGTGTCTCCTAAAAATAAATTCATTAAATAAAAGGACACGCCATGTGGTGCGTTCTATATGTATTCCCAAAGTGTCCAAGTGTCTCCGAAATGTCTGTATATCCGACACGGAATGGCACTAGTTTTAAAATGTCGGTGCTTCATAGCTAATCACATACAAGTTTTATAATAATAAAAATAAAATATATAATCCTTAAAGTTCCATCTGCATCACTATCCATTACATGTTAATAACCAAAACTTCTTATAAATGTAACTAATAAGAAGCCAAGGAAAAGTCTATCTTTGCAGAATTTTTATATCTCATCTTCTATGAAAAATATGTGGTGGTGACATTTACCATTGGTGGTAACTTCTCTGGTTTAGAGTGCTTTACTTTACCCAGATTTTTTGTTCGGATTTTCAAATTTTCGTTTTTTCCTCTTTTTTTTTTTGCAAGTTTTTTCCTGATGCTAAGAATGTATCAAACACCAATTAACCCATTCTTTTAACAAGCACCACCGAAGCATATTCATTTATTAAGCAATGCACTCCCTTATATCTACATTCGTGCTTAGCGACGGAATTGTGTGCAAGTGTAACAACATATAGTTAGATAACCATATGTCGTATACCTAGGTCATTCTTGATACATCATAATTCATATCTATTGATGGTTCAATTAGTTGAAAGTTGATATATTTAGTATTTAAATTACTAATACCAGAACAAAATAAAGGCATGGCAAAGAAATTGTCATCCTAGCATCATGTTCACATCAACATTATTCATTACAAAAAGAACCTAACTTAAAGTCAACAGTTCACCAGCAGGGGGAAAACAGGTGAATTCATTGCTTGTTGAGGTTCATGTTCAAGAACACTCGACCAAATAAACACTCCAACAGATATATACATATATAAGTATTATATAAAGGACCGATAGTTGGGGCAACAGCAATGACAATAAACAAGGAGATGAATCATGAAGTAGATGAGGCAATACCCATTTCCGCTGCAAGGTCAGGATTGTCAATGCCACCACCAAAAATAGCTCGGCCATTGGCATCAGTTTTGCAGGCATCTTCAAGCACTCTGCACGAAAATGTAAAAAAAATACATGTTCCGGAAAAATGTAATGCCAAAATATAGGAATCATATAGATAAACTATCATTCAAACACTAATATGAGAGAGAGAGAGAGAGAGAGAGAGAGATGACTTGCTCCAAGCAGAATATTTGTAAATGATTATATTCACATTCCTGGAGCTTAAGCAGTCTCTGACCTCTCGCAGTAGTCTTGACCCTTTTGGCAAGCATATCGAGTGGTGGCATTGATGTCTTTTCCAAAATCATCACTTGCATCAATTCATAGTGATGCTGATGTTGCATATGATGTATGAAGATTAGGTTGATAGTCATGTTGTCGCTGGAAAATCTCATTCTGCTGTTGGTGGGCATTGCAAAAAGCTGGGCTACTGACAAAGGATAACAAGAAAAAAAGGGCTTCCATGGTATGGAAGGAGACAGATGGGATTCATATTAGCGCAGCAGTACCTTGAGTAGAAACTATATCCCTAATCTATATCTGCATTTATAGACGATCATATAAGGATTCCGAAAGCTTCAAGTCCACCACCTAAATCAGTGATTGTCTTGAATTCTTTCAGAATGAAAGCTTCATTAATCTTCCAGTCTTCAAAATAAATCTGAGGGTTTTTAGATTTAAATCAGATAAAAAATAAGAAGAAAGAAAGGCAATACTATCTTACTAAACTTTTTAAAGTAGAGGCATCAGTGCCTAATCAATGTATCAATACAAACATTATAATTCTTTTTCCTTTTTGGTTGACTAGGAGGTTCATAATTACAAAACTTAGAACAAGCTCCGCAACGAACATCCAATGGCATCAACATTATAAATCTGTAACAATCTGGTCGGAATATCAGAATACTATATAATCATATCCATAGTTCCTGAACAAGATTTGCCAAAAAGATATGCCAATAGAATTTCTCTCTCAATGCTTCTCCCTTTCCCCAACCTACAAACAGAAAAGATTATTCACACCAGATCCAACAGTGAAAACCAAAATGAATGAAAATGCAACAAAAGACAAGTCAGAACTGCATGCTTAAAATGGACTACAGCAAAAGGAAGCTCAAAGGGGAAAAAATTTACTATTGTGATAATAATCTGTTATAGCAAAGAAAACAAGCATAGAGAACATAGCAGACTCAAGCATAGGCTTGAATCCTCCCTTGAAGCAAGGACAAGGATATTTTATTTAGCAAAAGAGGCGATGACTAATAAAGAATTATAAAGATTTAGATATGATATGAACCAAAAATAGGCACCCTTGCCCATAATCTTGCAAGTTCTCTCTCATGCTAAAAAGGGCAAGCAGGTAAGCACATGGAAACAGAGCAGTCCAGTTGATTTTTATGGAAAGTACTAAGCTATGGATGCATGACCAATACTTCCAAAACATTTCATAATTATCTGTATTTATTATATAAAGCCTACAACTAAAGTTGGTGAAGCTTATTATCCTTTTTTTTTTTTAATTTCTGAAAATGCCAACACATGAACAATTACATAGGAGCCGTCATGCCATACAAAACTGCTTCAATTTTTTTCCCAAAAAAAAAAAAATCTAAACTGTTTCGTTTGTAGATTTCATAGCACACAGCTCGTGAGTGGATAACTAATAGCAATTCATATTCCCAATTTTGAAAACTGACCAAGAACTTTGGCTTTTAATCATAAAAAAAAGGTATTCCATACAAGTCCCACAAAAAAAAAAAAAAAACCGACAGATGAAACTAAATGCCAAAAGCAAATTATTAACCATAATTAAACTTAAAGCAACTAACCTTGAGTATAATCAGAGCAGGAAATAAACAATACTCCAGCATCCAGAGAATCAAGCCTGATTCTTACAAAACCGAGTACCTGCCTGGCTGGGCTGTACCTGGAAGAGATGATGCTTGGGTCGTGATGTCCTCCAACACACGTTTCAGTTCTGCTTTTGCCCTTTTCACGGACTGTTCAGTAGGGCCCTCTATGAACAAGTACAGCTTCCGTTCCCCTGGTCCTGGAACCTTACCAGAAGGAAAAAACTGACCCCTAGTCGTAATGGCAGCTCCAGTCCATTCAGAAATCGGACCCAAAGTTTCCTTGTGCGTCACTTTCCAACGAGCATTTTGAGGAAAATCATTTATCTCCAACTCTGCCTCGTAATGTTCAGGCATGGCATCGGCCTGAATCTTGGCCAAGTTATGTTGCAAGTTCATGGCAGCTGCCAATGCTGCTGCCCTAGCGGCCCCATCACCTGCGGTAATTGCAGTTCCAGTCACAACTGCTGCCGGACCAGGTATTGTTAAACCAAGAACACCTGGCAGAGAAACAGGTAATCCACCATTTGGAAACAGTTGACCAGCTGAGGCAGGTACCGACATACCCACACTCACTTTAGATGCAGCAGCAAGGGCAGCTGCTTGAGCAAGGACTGCTTGCTGAGATAAGTCACCGCCTGCCTTTCTGACCCCGTCATCTTCATCTTCTGAATCTGACTTGTCTTCCTCAAAGCCGTACTCTTTTGCCTGTGCTTTCTTTGCTGCTCTTCTCACCTCATCCTCCTCTTCATTAAATTTAAAACCACTTCCACCATAACCAGTCCCATGGGCTTGCTCAAGTCCCTGATGCACCTTTGCCATGAAACCATCAGCAAGAGCTTTCAGGTCATCCGGCACAACTTGCTCAGAAAGTTCCAATGCTTTCACAAGATCCGGTGCATATCTTGCATCTTCCTCAGAAATAAATGTGATAGCACAGCCTTTTCGGCCAGCTCGTCCTGTCCGACCAACACGGTGAACATAGTCTTCATAGTGGTTCGGAACATCAAAATTGATTACCAGTTCAAGCTCCTTTACATCTAAACCCCTGGCAGCAACACTTGTTGCAATCAACAAATTGCATACATTACTTTTGAAATCAGCAATGGTGGACTCACGATCGGTCTGATCCTTAGCACCATGAAGGGAGAGGCAAGGATAACCATGCTTGAGCAAATCCCTGAATAAAGCATCACATTTCTCCTGTGAGTGTACAAAAATCAAAATTTTCCCCTTCTCGTACCATTCACCAAGCAGTTCTAACAGTCTCAAGAACCTTTCATTTTCTAATCTCACCTCAACCAACTGGGAAATGTCTTTATTCACAACACTCCTACCACCAACCTGTATTTCCACAGGTTTGTTTAACACTTTACGTGCCAATATCTCAACCTGACGGGGAAAAGTAGCAGAGAAGAGTACAGTTTGACGGTCTGGTCGAGTGTTTTGAACAATTCGAGTGATCTGGGGTTCAAAACCCATATCAAACATCCGATCAGCTTCATCCATGACCAGATAAGTAACTCTACGTAGATTTGTAATTTTGCCACTGCTGGTACAAAGTATATCAATCATTCTACCTGGAGTGCAGACCACAATCTCAGCCCCACGCTTCAATTCGCTAATTTGTTGAGCAACACCAGAACCTCCATATACAGGCACACAGCTGACGCCCATTACCTTTGAAAACTTCTTGATATCACTGTGGATCTGCTGAACAAGCTCTCTTGTAGGTGCCATTATCAACCCAATAGGCCCATCTCCAGACATCAGAGGTGGCTGATCCTTTATATGCCTTAACATTGGCAGCACAAATGCTAGTGTTTTACCAGATCCTGTCTTTGCAACACCTATACAGTCTCGACCACTCATAATTACGGGCAGCGCTTGCGCTTGGATTGGCATAGGCTTTTCAAAGTTAAGCTTCTTTATCATCTCAAGAATTTTGGTTGATAATCCCGTCTGCTGCCAGGTCTTAATTGGTTTGGGCACATCCTTTCCATGTATCTTCAATTCCAATTGCTTCCTGTACGTAGCAACCTCGTCAGAAGTCATCCTTGAGATTTCCTTCACTTCAATATGAAAATTTTTCCTGAATGGGAGATATTCGATCTTTGAATGATCAACTATTGATAGTTTCTCAACTTTGGTCTTTTTCACCCTTTTCATGAATTCATCATCATCTTCATCTTCAATAGGATCGTCATCGTTCCCAGTGTCCCCATAATCTGAATCAGAATCTTCGCCAGGAATGATTCTTCCTATTGACTTATTCAAACCTTTTTTGGGCTGTTCTCCATTACTTTGATTATCATTCTTACCTTTCTTCAATTCTGAATTCTTCTCGTCAGAGGCAGAAAGTACAACATCATTGTTCAGCTTCTTAACTTCCGGCAATACCATAGAATTCATGAAAGCATCTAATGGATCAATTTCTTCATCCACCATATCACCATCACCCTCATTTTGTGAAGCAGGTGCTGCAGTTCCACTCTCAGAGTCAAGTGCCATGGCATCACTATCCTCATCCATAGGATTGGCATCTCCATTCATGTTCGAATCCATTTCTGGTTTCTCCTCGGCAGCTGCTTCTTCATCATCAGATTCTCCTTCTAAAGTCCAGGCCTTTCCAGCCATAGGTTCATCAGCACTAGACATTACTCCAAGCTTTTCTCTCTCTGATTCCTCCTTCCTCCTCCTCAACTCTTGCCATTCCTGAACTCTCCTCCTCCGCTTCTCCATCTCCTCATCCAATTTCCTTTGCTCTTCCTCTATATCCTCTTCTCGAGTTCTCGCCTCTTTCTTCTCGGATGAGCCTTCACCACTCCTTTTCTTGGGGCTACTATCTTCAATGTCCTCCCTATGCCTCTTGGACCTGCTGCTCCGTTCGGACTCCCTTTCCCTGTTGTCATCCTCCCTCCTCCGCCTCTTTCTATCATGATCTCTTACATTACCATCATCACTACTATCATCTTGACGCTTCTCCGATTCCCGAATCCTCTCCCTATCCCTCTCCTCCCTCTCACGCTCTCTCTTCTCCCTCTCCCTCTCCCTCTCCCTCTCCCTTTCTCTCTCTCTCTCCCTCTCCTTTGCCCTATCCCTCTCTCTTTTCTCCCTCTCCCTCTCCCTCTCTCCCTCTCCCTCTGTGTGTGCTGCACAGCCCTCTCCTGTAAATTTTGCAGTGACGTTGGCTTGATCATGTAAATGGACTGCCTCTACTTTATCTTCCTTCTCCTTGTCCCTCTCCTTGTCTTTTACCCTATCTCTATCTTTGGCTCTTTCATCATCCTGGCTCCTCGTCTTCTCCCTGTCCTTGTCCTTTTCCTTGATCCTGTCTCTATGCCTATCCTTGTGTTTTTCCCGCTCCCGATACTTGTCATCATCAATGCTTTTCTCCCTCTCGGATCGCTTACTCTCCCTGTCTTTCTTCTTATCGGAAGAACCACGGTGGCGGTCTCTGTCCTTATCTCTGTGCCTCTCTCCATTCCTCTCCCGCTCATGATCACGTTCCTCCCTATCCCTCCGATGACTCCTACTCTTTGAATCCTCCCTGCTTTCTGAATCTTCCCTCCTAGATGATTTGCGTTTCGACTCTTCCATCACTACCATTACTACTATAAACTGAACCTCAATCAACAATAACCTCTATTACTATATATATAATTCCTGCAATGGCAAAGCAAACCCTAGTTGGCTCTGCAACAACTTTCACAGCGTGCAATCCAAGCTTGAATGAATCAATACTTCGATTACCCTAGTATAGTTTGAGAAATTCTCAAACAGTGCAAGAGATAGATCTGATACAAATTATTCAATGTTAACAACGAACAAACAAAAAAGTCAGTGAATTCGTAAACTACAAATCTAGATATATGATGAGACAAACATAACATCCAAACCTTGATATACCTGATGATTATGGTGAATTGGAAGAGAAAGGAAAGAAACAGTTCAAAACTCTACCATTTCTCACCTCCCAAACACTCCCTAAGGTCTTGTTTCTTTCTTCGATTCGTTCCTCTCCATCCTATTCTATTTAAAAATTTTAAAATAAATAAATCAGCTCTTTTTCTTTCTTTTTTTGGAAAATTATTGAATAACAAGAGATATGACTCTTATAATACATTGGATTCTAAATTTCTCCTATAATAAATTGAACTCTAAATTTTAAAATTTTACATTTAAATCTTATACTTTTTTAACAAGTTACAATTTCATCCCTCGTTACGACAAATATCACCTCCAACCCTCTCCTCTATACTTAGTCTTTCCCTTCTACACCCTGCGTTTTCAACACTTCTAATCAATTCCTTGACCTTCCCATTTTCATTTGTTTGTTGATATTTCAAATAACACAATCACTTTGACATTAAGAAACTAAATAGATGTCATTAGTTCAATTTCGATTGCCTGAATCTAAATATTAAGTTAGTGGTTTAGCTCTGGTAATCTAAATTTTTTGTTCTTTTTTCTAGATCTAAAAATTTTAAAATTGGTTCTATATATGAAAATCTTAGATCTTGTTTGTGATGTTGTAAGAGTATTAGGAGTTCAGCACGCGGAGAGGAGATTAGGGGAGAAAATTTGCTAGAGAAAAAGTTCACAATGAGAGGTGAACGTCATGATAATTGGAGATAGGGATTGTAGCAACCAAATGCAGAGATGGAATTAGACTTTAGAAGTTATTCAGTGTGTTTGGTTTGAGTTTTCTGAATTAAGTTTTTTGAAAACTGAATTTTTTGGTTTTCGTATTTTTTTTTGTTTTTAGTGAATTTTTTAAAATTTTAAACATTTTTTGTACTTTTTAAAATGCACCTTACTTAGATGTATCTAAAAAGTAAAAAAATTGTGAAAAAATATTTTTAAAAATTAAGAAATACATAAAAATACAAAAAATATACTGAATTCATATATTTTTTTTTATATTTTTGGTATTTAGTGAATTTTTAAAAGATTTTTTTTACAATTTTTTTACTTTTTAAGTGTATTTATGTTAGGTGTGTCTAAAAGGTAAAAAATTTGCATAAAATATTAAAAAAATTTAGTAAAAAAAAAAATACAGAAAATAAGAAAGTAAAATTTTCTAAAAACTGTTTTTAGAAAAATGGAACCAAACAAGCTGATTGGTATAAATGATAATGTTATATTTTTCATTATGCAAGATATTCGTGGCACGGGAAACAAGACTCAACAATTTTTTATGTACAAAAATATATTATATATTGTATATATATTAAAATTATATTATATATATTATATATATTTTATAAAAATTGAACAATATATTATAATTTATTATTTAAAATTATATTATTTTGATCTCTAACTTTTTAATTATGACATATTTGATCATGAATTTTAAATCTTGTTATAAATAAGGATAATTGAAAATACTATTACTTAATTTCAAATGGCAAAATCATTAATTTAAAAATTTTAAAAATTATTTCTACCCACTGAAGATAAAATTATGTAAAATTGATAAATCTTTTAGACATTTATTTATTTATTTATTTTACAAAAGTAATTTTTATTATGTATTTGGATGATAATCATGTAATGGGTGGTTGTTAGGATTTTAATGTGTGATCGATATATTTAATATATAAAATGTTTTCAGTTTTGAATTTTTTGATTTATTCGATTGATTTAATAATGATATCAAAGTTGTCGCCATATTTGACTTTAAAAAAATAAAAATTAATTTAAGGAGCCTTGTAAAAGTTTCAATATCTCATATTAATTTTTTTAATTTTAAACAATTAAGAAAATCTACATTGGCTAACTTCCATTTAACCATATAAAAATAAACTCTAATTAGTCTATGATTTATTTCATTATCCCACATAGCAAAAATGAAGGAAAAAGTGAGTTGTTCCACTTATATAAAGTGAATTTTATACTCCCATTTAATATTGTAGTGTTGTGTATTTTCAATTCAATATAGTTTAAATTTTAAAACGATGGTGCTACATGTATCAAAAACTATTACCAATTAGTGTACCAACATATATTACGACATTATTACTGACCACACCCATTATACAAATTATAAATACCCAAAACTTATAAAATTATGTCATATCATCTGTTAGTACACTAATTAATGTATCAATTGGTGCATATAACATTATTCATTTTTAAAATAAAATTTAAAAGTTTTAATTAATTGATTTTTGTGTAAGGTTGTTTAGTTTTTTGACCTAGCTGATTAGGCTGAATCATTTTTTGTTTGACTGATTTGTTGGTTTAACCATGATTTTAGCGGTTTTACAAAATATGATAGTTAGATTTATTTGATTCAAAATAAACTAAAAATTGATCTGATTAAAGATTGAAGACTAATTGCTTAATTAGAAATAATTTCCCGTTCAAATAATTGTTAACTTTTATTTTATAATCCAAAAAAGATGAAAAAAGTGAATTATTATAATGGCAACTTCATTTAACAAATAATTAATTATTTTTAAAATATTAAAATATTTTACATGAAAATTTGTATTAAATAAAAAAATTTTAAAATTTAAATTGAAAATTATGATTTGTTTTGAGACTTTGATCAAGTTCTATATTAAAAATAAAATCTATAAACTAGAGAATTAAATTGATGAGATATAGAATTTTTTTTTATTTTATTTGAAAAAAAAAATCAATGAATGTGGTTAATAGGAAGGGTGCTTATAATCAATTTCTTTTTACACCCATTACATTTATTAAAAAATTTATAACTTAGACATAAATATTAGTGCATATGAGTGCATAAAACAAACCAAAAAAGAAAAAAAAAATTGTGTACAAAAGAAATTTAATGTGTGTAATTAAATCAAAATATTTTGAAGATTTATAATTTTTATCATAAATTTTAAAGATTTAAGAGTAGATATATATGGCATGAATAATACAGTAATATAGTAAAAAGTAAGTTTTTATTTTTTTTTAAAGGAAATAAAAATAGTAGGAGAGGATTAGGTTAGAAAGGTATAGAATATTTTTTTGTATCTTACCTTTTGAATATTATAAATTATGGAATTATTAATATTTTGAAAACTATTATTTTAATGGATTATCCAATAGCGTCAATATTATTAACATTAAAATTATTCTTTTATAACAAACACATCGTGTCATTAAATATTTTTTTAAAAAAATAACACGTATATTATACGGATTAATTGCTAATATATATATATATATATATGTAGAGAGAGAGAGAAAAAAAATGTTCAATGGAGATAACAATAGTGAAACTTAATCTGTACATCGTGGAGTATCAATTGTGATAAGAAAAAAAAAATACTAGCTTATGAAAATTTTAAATATATTTTACACTTTATGATATCAAGTATTTTACTTAAAAATATCTTACCTACTTTTGGCCAACCAAACAAAAAATATATAAAATATTATTAAATTACAAATATATCTTATGAAACTCGTTTAAAATACAAATTATTTTTTATAATTTTAAAAATTATATCGTGTCCTTTCAAGTTTCTAATTATATAATAAAAGATCAATTTTATTAATAAATCATTAACGCTTTGCTTGTTTACGTGAAAAATATGAAAAATATTTTTTAGGATTTTTTTAAAAAATATTTTTCTATGTTTGATGGTAGTAGTGATGGTGAAACAAAGGTAAAGATGATGGCATGGTAGTGGGGCGACAGCGGCGGTGATGGCGGTGGTGACTGCGGTGACGGTGGTGGAGATGAGAGTGGTGGTGGTGGTATGGTGACATTGGTAAAATTTTAATTTTGAAAACGTTTTTCGCCTTTTAAAAGTAGAAAATATTTTATATCCAAATAGGTTTGCTTTTCATTGATAATAAAATTTGTTTTTTGTTAACTTTTGTTTTCCATTGTACTAAGCACTAGAAAATATGAAAAATATTTTTTAGAAAATATTTTCTGACCAAACAAACGGAGTTTAAGTCAATTATCAATCTTTAATAATATTATAAATATATTTCAATTAAAAATTTAAATAATTTTATTATTGTATATGATTGTATTTGAATTTTTTTTTATTAAATAAAAAATTATAATAATAAAAAATTTATAATTTCTAAAATCACATAAAATAATTCATATTTTGGACAAATATCCAAATATGATTTAGAGTTAACCATTAAGAAACATATTTTACGCTAAAACAAGTTGAGCTTCACTATGCCTCTGTTTGGGAAGAATTATTTTAGCCTGACTTTTTGGCCTCGTTTGGTAGAGTTATAGGAAAGTGATTATAACTTATAACCTAACAGCTTATAACTTATAACTGTGAACATAACCTGATTTTTGACTTATAAATTAAGTTTCTCTTCTCCCACTAAAAAAATAAGTTGATTTTTGACTTACAAAAAAGCTATAAGTTGTATTATTAAACTGAACCAAACACATCAAAATAGCTTAAATTAAGCTAAAAGCTAAAATAAGTTAGAAATAACCCATACCAAACAGGGCCTTTGGCTAATTTAACCTACTTAAATTAATTTCATTTGGGTGAAATTTTTGACTTTTTTTTGTTTGAATAAAATGATTGTGAGAGAAAAAGTGAAATGATTATGATTTATATATAAAATTTTATCTTCTTGACTAACTTACTTTGTCTTTTTGTATTAATTTAACTTCCTTAATCCTTTCCAAACAAGGCCTAATTCATTTTTTTCCCTTTTTTATCTCGTAAATATCCGAACGTAGCCTTAGCGCCGCCACAACAGTCGAAACCGCTAAAACTGGAGGTTGGAATGTCCTCACAATACTCTCTGCGTTTGTCGTGTGAAAGTTTCAAACAGACAAACCAACCTGTCTGAATCATTCATCCACTTGTATAATAAACCCCAAAAAAGCGTTCTCTACCATTTCTCACCTCCCAAACACTCCCTAAGGTGTTGTTCTTGTTGTCACTCAATTCTCATCAATATGTCAAATCTTTTTCCTTCACTGCACTGCATTTTTTTTTTTTTTTTTTTTTTTTTTTTTTTTTTTTTTAACTTTTTGACTTTCTGACTTTCCTAATTGAATTGTTCAAGAAACAACAAACAACAAAGGAAACTGTGTTTTTTTCTTTTTGTTTGTGTTGACAGCTTCGATTTGATCGGTATTTGACTCGTTAACTTCTATGTTCTGTTATCGTTTCGTTTGCTAATCACTTGAAATACTTGATTTATAGCTTGCTCTGCAGCCTTTGATTTCAATTTTACTCACAATTCACTTGAATTTGTTGTTGCTTTGATTTTGCAAGCTGATTTGAGCTTTTTTCATTTCAATTTCTTGACAAGTTTAGAGTAAAATTTAGACTAGGTTTGACTTGAATTTAGAGGTTTTTTTTTTTTAATTTGTTCATCAAAGATCAGATCTCCTTTGTTCTTCAAGCATAAGTAACTAGATTTAGATGAGGATCGATTAAGTGTATTTGTGGTTTGTAGAATTATATGGGGAATACTTGTGTTGGACCAAGTTTTTCAAGGAATGCTTTCATTCAATCGATTTCAACCGCGGTTTGGCGGACCCGATTCCAGGGTGATGATGGTTCTACTCCTACTGGAGAAAGTGTCCCTGTGACACCATCTTCAATCAATGAACCCGAATCGTCTATGCCGGTCCAGAGAAAACCCCCTCAACAAGTCACAATTCCAAAAACTGAACCAACAAAACAAGAGCCACAAGGAAAATCCAAGAAAACCCCACACATGAGGAGGGTTTCTAGTGCAGGGCTTAGGACTGAATCGGTTTTACAGACAAATACTGGTAATTTGAAGGAGTTCTATTCTTTGGGGAAGAAACTAGGGCAGGGTCAATTTGGGATGACATTTCTTTGTGTGGAGAAAGCTACCCGGAAAGAATACGCGTGTAAATCGATTGCTAAGAGGAAGTTGTTGACTGAAGATGATGTGGAGGATGTGAGGAGGGAAGTTCAGATAATGCACCATTTGGCTGGGCATCCAAATGTTATATCAATCAAAGGTGCTTATGAGGATGCTGTGGCTGTTCATGTTGTTATGGAGTTGTGTGTCGGGGGTGAGCTTTTCGATAGGATTACTCAACGTGGGCATTATACGGAGAGAAAGGCTGCTGAGCTTACTAGGACTATAGTTGGAGTTGTGGAAGCTTGTCATTCCCTTGGGGTTATGCACCGTGACCTTAAGCCCGAGAATTTTCTTTTTGTTGATCAGAAGGAGGATTCGCTTCTCAAGACAATCGACTTTGGATTGTCAGTATTTTTCAAGCCAGGTATATTTCTATCTTGAGTATTGTTGAAGCAGTTCTTGTGATATGCCTTGATTCTTTATCAATACGCTTAGATTTTCCATATTGGAATCAAGTTAAACCACTGGTTCTAGTAAATACACCAGTTTCACCAATCTTTGAAAAGCAAAATAGAAATTAAGTTTTGACTATTGTTGTAAACTTAACAAAATGAACTTGACTTATAATTAAGCTCTATCTTTTTTTCAGAAGTAGTCAGCTTAGAATTGATGATCAATTTGTGCTTGTAGTATATAGAAATAGAATGCATTTTTTGTCATTTCACTATTGCGTTGTTAATTTAATAGCATTGGAATGGAGTTCACGTACATTTGCACAGCACGTGTATATAGAGACCAACCGAGCTGCATAATTGTCTTATGAAGTGCAGACATCGAAACCTTCATATCCATATCATGTTGTTGAGCAAGGATTCTCTCCATCTCTTTCCTACTTGGCTCCCTCCTTGCAATGGTCAAGATTTACCCAAAGAAAATCTAATGGCCCAGATCATTTCAAAATTATTATTTTTTAATTTTTATTTTTTTTAATAAAGTGATCTGGACCGTTGAATTCTCTTAGAGTAAATCTTGACCATTGTAAGGAGGGGATCAAGTAGAGAAAGCAAGGAGAGAATCCTTGCTCCATGTTGTTAGGTAGTCCTGCATTGCAGCTAAGAGATAATCACTTAGAAAATATAAGGAAGAAGAACTCCGAAAATATGGGGAAGAAGGAATATATTTCTGTTATATTCAAAAACTTCTTATTTTACAAGACCAAATGACACTCCTTATATAGGAGATATTACAAACATCATTATAACCCATTATATGCCACTTACATATTATATATTACCACTATCTACCACTATCATATTATATACATGCCACTATCTACCACCAACACCACTATCATATTATATACATGCCACCATCTTATTATATACATTAACACAAATTTCTAGCACTCCCCCTCAAGCTGGTTTGAAGATATCTTCCATAGCCAGCTTGCTAGTCAGCTTATCAAATTGCTTCTTGTGTAGTCCCTTCGTTAGCACATCAGCTAATTGTTCACCTGTTGGAAGGTAGGTCATACAGATTATGCCAGCATTGATTTTCTCCTTGATGAAATGTTTATCCACTTCTATATGTTTTGTGCGATCATGTAGAACTGGATTATGAGCTATAGATATAGCTGGTTTCATAAAGTGAAAATAAGATATAGGTGTCGGGTGAGAAAACTTTAATTCTTCAAGAATTCTTTTAATCCACATTACTCTCAAGGGAAGTGCTTGGAGAGTCGAAAGGAACGGGACCCAGCTCTAGGGAAACTTGGTGGTGGAGGGAAGAGGTCCAAGCGGTAGTTAAGGCAAAAAAAGAGTGCTTTAAAAAGTGGCAGAAGGATAGAACTGAGGAAAACCTTAAAACAATCCACAGCAATAGACAACAATATCACCAACCTCAAGGCCACACTCCAAAACAGCATGTCAATTTAGTATCAGTTAGGTAAAACAGCATGTAAATCCAAATCTTTTAGAAGAAAAATTCCAATAAATATTAGAAAATACAAAGTAATTAGTTTGTAGTTAATAACATTTCTATAAGGGAGAAAAAAGAAAAATTTTAGACTTAAATTCATATACAACAAATTAGATATTAGCATATTCCTATCGATGTGTATTTTTAATAGAAGCCACTGAAGTCAAGGAGCATTTAACCAAAAAATAACATGATATGCAAAACTTCTGCACCTGCTTTCACTTTTTCTCCTTTCTCCCCCCCCTAAGGTTAGGCTCCAAACCTTCAACCCAATGCTTTTTGAAAAGGCAGAAGGATAACAATTTCTCATTTGCAAAATTCAAGAATAGGAACATTGTTACAGTTGAAAGTTAATCATGTCACATAACAAACAGAGGCTTGGTTTCAAAAAATTAAGCCTTAACATGCCTAAGAAAGTTAATCAAAACTAACAAGTAAATGACAACAACATACTGACAGTCTAGCAAGCGCAATGATTTCAGCTTATGGATGACATATAAATGGTAATTTGGCTTCTTTGTGATATTATTATCAAGAAGACTAAGAAACTGCAGCTTAGGGAGTGATGCAAGAGGATCAATCTCAACCAAATTCGTTAGTTGATTGTTAGTGAGAACCAAAGTATGCAACTTGGGCAAGAACTCTGCAAATCCACAAAACAGAACATATCAAGCTTATGTTTGCTGAATAAGCATTATATTTTGTGATTTATTCACATTTTTATTTCACCAAACTTTTCATCTCCTTGGTGATTTCTCATATATAACATGATAAGCTTCAAATATAGCCATTTTCTTTATATATATATCTATACACAAGATCCAGAGGATTGCACCCGCCCATTGATAGTGAGTATCCTGTGGAGGCCAAATGGCCCATTTCACTAGCATAGAAAATGAAGGTAGAAACATTATCAGTTATGTACAACTATTTAGATTTTTTAATAATGTTTTCATCTTTCCATTTCAAAATTCAGATAATGGCATCTAATTTAATAACTATTCATTTTGTTTTTTGCTATTTATGAAATAAAGAAGTCCATGTTACTCAAGGAGAAACAAAACAGAGCTGAAGCCAGCCATACATGAACAATTGATGCTATCACATCTTAAGTCTAAATGGCCCATTAATTCCACTCCCACAGGTCAACTACCCCTAGACCACACACAAAAAGCACTAAAAAAAGGTACAATTCATAGCTCTAAACCCCACCAATTCATAGACCTCGTATTTTTTCCCTTTTGCATAGAGAAATTGACACTCGACGCAAGGAGAGAAAGGAATTCATAGAAATTAAGTGAGGTGTTCACTTGTAATAATACTATAGAGATATAGATAGATATGTATTAAAATAACACCCACAAGAAAACAATATAAAAGCATAGGAAGAGCCAGCCATTCTTAGTGGCATTTTATCAAGCACCTAGGAGGCATAAATAACATATATATAGTTTTCTTCTCTGCTAGACAGTAGAAATAAAATAGAGATACATAGAGATACCTAAGAAAACATAGATTCACAAACATACCCAGCCAAAAACAACAAAGAGAAACAGAGAAGTAATCATCGACCACTACCTGAGCATAGCTGAGCAGCCAAGAATTAAAACACCCAAAAAACAGTAGCAAACTTACCAACAACATAGCACACCAGAGACCATCACAGCAGCAACCATGCCCAGACCACCCTCAGCCATTGACACAGATTCCAGTGAACACTGCTTCCATATGAAGAATACATCTAATTAAACAAACTGACATATGCATAGCTCAGCTCCTATTCCTAATGCAATAGGAGACGTTTGCTCCTGTTGCTAAAATAAATTCCATCAGAGTACTGTTATCTCTTGCAGTAAATTCAGATTGGCCTCTACATCAACTTGACATTAAAAATGCATTTCTCAATGGTGATCTTGAAGAGGAGGTGTTCATGAGCCTACCGCCGGGATTTGAGCAGAGACTTGGAAGCGACAGAGTATGCAGATTGAACAAGTCATTATACGGACTCAAACAATCACCAAGAGCGTGGTTTGAACGCTTTGGGAAGGCAGTCCGGTACTCCTAGTGTTTTGTTGGCACAAACAGGTAGAAATCCTAAAGCCTTCTCTTGCCTAAACATGGACATCTTCAAGTTGAAAGGAACTCCAGGGATAGGCTTACTGTTCAAGAAACATGGACATCTTCAAGTTGAAGTATACACAGATGCAGACTGGGCAGGAAGTGTTACAGGCTAAGTTGGGGACGTGAAGAACAGCATTGAGATTAATTTTCTCAGTTAGTTTAATAAATCTTTTTCCTGCAATAGGTGAAAAACTACCATCGGCTATTCTGATTTTGTCATGACCAGAACAAGGGAAATAGGTACTAAATAAATGGGAAAAACTAGTCATGTGATCGGGGGCACCGGAATCTATGATCCACGGAGAGAAGTTTAGGCAAGAGAAGGTTTTAGGATTTCTACCTGTTTGTGCCAACAAAACACTAGGAGTACCGGTTGAGGAGTTGGATTTTATCAGCTTTAAGAGTTGATCAATCTGCTCTTTGTTGAAGGGACCTGAATCGGCTTCATTAGCGGTAGGAAAGCCACGATTCTTCTCTCCTTGTTTGCTGCTTTTCCAGTTGACAGGTTTGCCATGGATCTTCCAACACGTTTCGCGTGTATGGCGAGGCTTGTTGCAAAAATCACACCAGACCCGTGGCTTATCATCAAACCTGCGCTGGTAATTTGCAGCCTTGTTGGCCGCAGCATTGCTAATTAAAGCAGAAATTTCAATTGATTCACCAGTACCTTTTTTCTTATGCATGACGCTCCTTCGGCTCTCTTCCCTTCTGACTTTGGCAAATACTTCGCCAATGGATGGGAGAGGAGGTCTGCCAATAATTCTTCCTCGCACTTCATCGAACTCAATGTTGAGGCCGGCAAGAAACTTGTAAATACGGTTGTCTTCCACAGTTTTCTTGTGGTGGTTGCAGTCGTCAACTGATTTCCATTCGTATGTGTTGAAGATGTCAAGATCCTGCCACAACCTTTTCAACGAATTGAAATATTTGGTGACGGAATCATCTCCTTGACGAATCTCTCCCAACTTCAAAGTTAATTCGAAAACTTGAGATTGATTTCCTAGGTCAGAATATATCTGACTAACATTATCCCACAATTCTTGTGCAGTAGTATAGCACATGTAATTAGAGCTTATATCCTCCTCCATGGAATTGACCAACCATGTCATAACCATGGAGTTTTCAGCGTCCCAACTGTCGAACAGCGGATCATTAACAGCAGGAGCCTTCTTGTCACCAGTGATGTAACCGATCTTTCCTTGCCCACGGACATACATCCGGACAGATTGTGACCAGCGAAGAAAATTATCACCATTTAGGCGGATGGTGGTGATTTGGACAGAGTGAGAGTTGGACGTTTTCACTGGAATGGCAGCGGCAGGGGTTGAAGTGGTTTTGGACGTGACTTCCGACATGGCTATGATGGTTTTAGGGCTGCTGTATTTTTTGTTGTTCTGATACCAACTTAGAAAATATAAGGAAGAAGAACTCCGAAAATATGGGGAAGAAGGAATATATTTCTGTTATATTCAAAAACTTCTTATTTTACAAGACCAAATGACACTCCTTATATAGGAGATATTACAAACATCATTATAACCCATTATATGCCACTTACATATTATATATTACCACTATCATATTATATACATGCCACTATCTTCCACCAACACCACTACCAAATTCTATACATGCCACTATCTTCCACCAACACCACTATCATATTATATACATGCCACTATCTTCCACCAACACCACTATCATATTCTATACATGCCACTATCTTCCACCAACACCACTATCATATTATATACATTAACACAAATTTCCAGCATAATCAAAAGGTTATCATGCTTTTGGATCAGATTTTTCTGACAATTTTTAGAAAAAAGGAAACTCCTGTTGATATTTAAGAAATATTAGATATTGATATTATATATAAATGTAGATATTGATAATTTTAGGGAATTCAAGATTAGGGAATGATTAGGATACCATCCCCTATTTATATTAATGAAGATTAATAATTGCTAAGGAGCCCTAAGGCATAGGATAATTACAAAATAATTACAAAATAATAACCAAATAATAACATATTATGCTAACACTCTCCCTCAAGCTGGTGCGAAAATATCTCTCATGCCCACCTTGCCTAAGATGTCATGAAATGGTTTACTCCTAACTCCCTTGGTGAGGATGTCAGCAAGTTGTTCACTAGACTGCACAAAGGGAGTACATATGGTGCCACTAGTGAGTTTCTCCTTAATGAAGTGGCGATCAATCTCAACATGTTTTGTCCTGTCATGTTGAACCGAATTGTGAGCGATGTTGATAGCAGCCTTATTATCACAGTATAGCCGCATGGAGTCCGTCTGATCAATACCTCGATCACTCAAAAATAACTTGATCCAGAAGAACTCACATACCCCTTGTGCCATAGCTCTAAACTCAGCTTCTGCACTTGACCTAGCAATCACATTCTGTTTCTTACTCCTTCAAGTAACTAAGTTGCCTCCAACAAAGGTGTAATACCCTAAAGTCGATCTCCTATCAGTTACTGATCCAGCCCAGTCAGCATCTGTATAGGCTTCCACACGAAAATGATCATACTTTAAAAAATAAAGACCCTTACCAGGAGCAAATTTCAAGTACTTCAAAATTCTCATGATAGCTTCGAAGTGAATCTGATGAGGAGCATGCATAAACTGGCTAACCACATTGACAGCAACAACAATATCAAGACGGGAGTGAGATAGGTAAATGAGCTTACCTACTAATCACTAATAACTCCCCTTATCAACAACTTCTCCTCCTCCATCATCCCCCAATTTCTGATTGGGTTCCAGTGGAGTGTCTGTAGACACAAATTTTAAAACATGAAGTGTTTCAACACATTTCAAAATTTATGTTACAAATGTCCACTATTTAGTTTTTGGACTAAACAGTGTTAATTATTTGAATAGCAGGTTCTTATTTTCAATCTGTATTTCAGATCGTTAATTACACATTCTATATAAATGAAACCTCCGATTAATGAAGAACAAAATAAACAACAAAAGACAATTTAAGAAAAATAAATATTTTATTGAAATTGTTATGGGTTTTGAACCCTCGAATACAAAAATACAATTCTTGGGTTTGGAACCCTTTACCTATTCATCGCCATGAGCGTAGGCTCTTGAATTCTCTAGGCTTCTCTTCTTCTTTCTTGTAACGACTTCTTTAGCTCTCAATTTCTTTCTCTCTCTCTCTGAACTTTTCACTTCTAATTTTCTCATCCCCTGTCTTGTGTGATGGTCCTCATATTTATAGAGGGCCATCAGGTGATAGGAATACTTCATCTTCAATTTGAATTTCAAATTGAATGATAGCGCCATTTGAATTTTGAATAATAGCGCTATCTGATTAATCGTATATCTGATTAATCGGATTGATCTTTGGGGTTTCATCCTGTGTAGTGTCCTTGCTGTAGGCTCTACAGGTGTCATCTTTCGTAGGCTCCACGTGTCATTTGAGCATCTTGAACGACGTTGTTTTATTTATACACTTAAACGGAGCAAGTAATCATTTTAGGAAGTGATTGCCTACAACAATCTTATCGTAGGCTCTATGTGTATCATTGACTGTATTTGAAATTTAAACATAAATTTGGTTGAAATTTATGTGCCAACAGTGTCACAAGCCTTGCAGCCAAGCATCCCAGTTTCCTTTAACAAATCAAGCACATACTTTCTCTGTGAGATAAATATCCCATCCTTGGAGCGAGCAACTTCAATTCGCAGAAAATACTTCAAGCTTCCCAAGTTTTTGATTTCAAACTCACAAGCTAAATATTTTTTCAATAGAGATATTTCGTCACTATCATCGCCCGTAAGAACTATGTCATCTACATAGACAATAAGTGTTGTAGTCTTACCATGTGAGGAATGTTTTACAAATAGGGCGTGATCTGCCTGGCTCTGTTTGAAGCCATATTTAAGCATAACCTGAGTAAATCTCTCAAACCAATAATTTTAGGGAATTCAAGATTAGGGAATGATTAAGATACTATCCCCTATTTATATTAATGAAGATTAATAATTACAAGAGAGCCATAAGGCATAGCATAATTACAAGATAATAACCAATTAATAACATATCATGCTAACAGATATCACTATGAAGAACTATTTACTTAATTTATTAGGTTACTTTTTGATTTTGAATGAATTAATCCTTTTTTATTTTTTGTAATTTTTTTATTTAACATCAACTTTACTATTGGCTAATTATCTTGGCCTTTCCACCAGTGCTATCCACCCAAAATTTGTTTCAATAAATATCCTTTTCAATTTTGGTCATTTCCCTTGTTGGGGAAACTTTGATTTCACCATGTTATAACTACACGAGGTCTTTCTACATTTCTCAAAATCTAATGGACACGATGAATTCAAATCTCGTGTGGAATTTATATGAATGAACCAGAAGTTGTGTGATATAAATCCTGTTGTTCTTCATTGATGTTAATTGTTTTATATCATTTTTTGATTATTCCATATTCGAAGTTTATACTAGCAAAAAAGGATGTATCCATCCTCTTACCACTTCCACATATAGACTTATGCTATAAAGTTTAAATTATAGTTTAACTCTTGCTACAGTTGCTTCTAATCAGTTGGCACTATCTCTTATATTGTAGCTTATGTCTTTGTAGTCCTGTAGGAAAACAGTTTGTTCAGGCCAAAAGGCCTTAAGGCTTCATTCGGTTGAAGAAATTGAAATTAAAGATAAAGGAAAAGTTGGAGGTTCTGAAAAGATACTTTCAGGGCAAGGATACTGCCATTTCCTTTGGTTGGTTGGTTGAGAGGAAGAAGGGAAGGGGAAGAAAGAGGTATCTTTTACCATTATACAGCAGCATATTAATACAATGGAGTTGTATAGAGAGCGAAAATGCGAGTAAAAGATTTCCCCCAACTAGATGGTGGAAACCATCTATGTTGCCCTTTTCCTCTCTGTGCCTACCCTTCCCTCATGCGACATGGAGTCTAATTGATTATAGGTGAACTTGGGGATTCACTATTTAAAAACTGATCAGCTTCCAAGTCCACTAAATCAATTATTTTGTTGGTTGTTTTGACTAGAAATCGCTGCAACTCTGGTGTAGAGCTGGGCGTCGGATCTGACTAGTGAATCCACCAGATTCTTATGGTTTTTTAAATAATTGGGTATCCGGGTAAACCCGACTAATCCCGAGACCTACGCAAAGCACTCCCTCCACGTGGGTCGGGCTATGCCCGTGCACATGGCCTAAGGTTGTATGTGGATCGTAGATTTAGGTAGGGATTTGAAAAGAAAAAAGGGAAAAAAAGTTGAATGAAATGCAAGCTAAAAGTTTTCTCCATTTCTTTGTTTCTTTCCAAATTCTTATGCAAATCCATGATCCAAACACAACGCAAGGGATTGATAGCACTTAATGGGAGTCAAACCTCATACCTGATGCTTATGCTCAGTTAAAGGTGTACTTCATAGGAAAAAAAATGTTTATCATAAGGATTGTCAATCTATTGGTGTCATAAGTTGCCTTGCAAGCTGGCTTGCTAGATGTCATTTAATATGGTGTAATCTTCAAAATAGAAAACTGCAAATCATTGTAACCCTTGGTGTAGTCCCTAGCTTGACTACGTCTACTGAACCACAGGACTTCCTCTTTTTCTGCTCATTTTATATTTTTATTCTGGTTGACATTTTTTCGGTTCCTAATTTTGGTTGATCTCTAGATGTTATTGAACATGAGATTTTCTTTCCAAACATCATCCCTCTACGGATTCCGAGGGTTAGACAATTTGGAAGATTGAAATCTATTTTTTGAACAGTTCTAGGTTAAATTGTTGTTGATTTTCTAATCTCTTAATCAACAATATAATTTTAGTTCACCTGCACATGCAGTTATGTTTATTCATTAAATGATGGCTTTGTTCATAGAGTATGTAGTTAGTCACCATTTCTGTGGTTTCAGTCTTCCCTTGTCTTTGACACTTTAATGAATTTATAATTACTCATTGTAGTTCCTATAGATTCCACTTTCTGATGTGTTTCATATTGATTGATCTACCCTTTCAGCTGAACAATTTAATGATCTGGTTGGCAGCCCATACTATGTTGCTCCAGAAGTGTTGCGAAAGCGCTATGGTCCTGAAGCAGATGTCTGGAGTGCTGGTGTAATTGTTTACATTCTATTAAGTGGAGTACCTCCTTTCTGGGCTGGTGAGAATTTGAATTCCTTTGCCATTGAAAATTAGATCCTTTTTATGTCTTTACATTTTATCTAACTCTCAATGCTGATTGTAACCATTTATACTCGTTTCTTTCTTTTTCTTTCTCGTTGTGATCATGTAGAAACCGAGAAAGGAATATTTGAAGAGGTCCTCCATGGTGAGCTTGACTTCTCATTAGATCCTTGGCCAAATATTTCAGAAAGTGCAAAAGATTTAGTGAAGCGAATGCTCGTTCGAGACCCCAGAAGGCGACTAACTGCACATGAAGTTTTATGTGAGTCTTACTGATTGTATTGCTTTTAGCTGATTATCTAAGGACCATTGGATTCACATATGGAAGTTCTTTATTTATTTATTTATTTGTTTTGATGAATGAGGAAGTTCTTTATTTTTTCATTACTACAATAAGAGGAAAAACAAAACAAAACAAAGCAAACCAGAAATAAATCTGGGAAGTTGTATTGGGTGATAATAGTCATTTTTGAAAATTGAATCACAATAGCGGACACAGTGTTAAAACTTGACATATGCTTAATAGTTGTTTCCATTTCCCGTTCATTCTGTTCAGGGTGATACCATTGTTTCTTGTGGGACAAACTCTTACATTGCAATCTTACATTGACCTATGTGTGGAATAATATCACTGAGTATTTGAACACTGAAATGGCATTTTTATTGTTGATTTCAGAGCTAGTGGTAACTCTTAAAGTGTGATGTGAAGGTATGAACATGAGGTCTATACCAGAGGCGTATGGGACTTCCTGCAACATCATAGCACTGTTGGTTTCCAATAAAATAAATTGAAATATTTACCATGGTATTTTTTTTTTTTTTCTTTCTTAACAACTCTTACTGATCTCAAGGACTTGTAGTACTTACTGACTACTGCAATATTTCATACTTTGATAACATAATCAAAGTGATCTAACCACAGCCCTGTCAAGTAATTTGCACAATAGAGATGGCACCTTTTAGGTAGCGTTTGGTTTGTGTTTAGAATTATGATTTGAGTGTGGAGTTGTATTTTGAGCTTGTGAGTTTTGGAATTATGATTTGAAAAGAGAAAATTTGTTTGGTTATGAGTTTTGAATTGAGTGTTGAATTTTTGAAATGAGTATTGAGTTTGTGAAAAGTTATTTGATTATGAGTTTTGAAAAGAGTTTTTAAAACGTAATTTAAAAACTTATAACTCATAACCACCAAACACACAACTCAAAACTCTATTAAAAATTCTATTCAAAGTTCATAACCAAACTCTTTTTAAAATTCAATTCAAAAAAATAATTATTGAAAAAAATAATTTTTTTGTTTAAAAAATTAAAAAAATTCCGAATTTTTTTTATTTAAAATATTAAAAAAATATTATTATTTGTTAACAAAAATGTTCAGCTAGTACTTTAAAATTACTTTTATTGTATATTGGTTGAAATTTTTTTTTAATTGTTTTGTTTTAAAATGTTTTTTTATTATTAAAAAATTACTGCGACAAATTAATTTTTATCAGCAGTTGCCATGGTGTAATAATATGCTGCGGAATGTGTGTTTTGATCTATCATTGTTGCAGACATGGTGTTCGACGAAATGTCCCAGAGGGATTTTGGGTTTGCTTCGGCGAGGTGGTGAAGAAGAGTGAAGGTATGTGTAGAGAATTTTAGCGGACTAGGTTGAGGTCCGGCGGAAAATACTAAGTTCTTAACTTCGCTCTGATACCATGTAAAATAAATTGATAGAGAGAGATACAGAGAGAATGAATTATGTATTGATTGATATTATTGATTGATGTATGTTTATTGATATTACAAATGGTGAGTGGCTCATTATATAGGAGAGGGTGAGTGTAGTAGGTGAGGAGTAGGTGAAGTGGAGGTGGTAGTGGTGTAGTGGGTTAGGTTTAGTGGAGTAGGTGAGGTGGTAGTGGTGTAGTGGGTTAGGTTTAGGGGAGTAGGTTTAAGTGGGTGAAGTAGGTGATAAATTTTAACACCATTGTTTCTTGTGGGACAAACTCTTACATTGCAATCTTACATTGACCTATGTGTGGAATAATATCACAGAGTATTTGAACACTGAAATGGCATTTTTATTGTTGATTTCAGAGCTAGTGGTAACTGTTAAAGTGTGATGTGAAGGTATGAACACGAGGTCTATACCAGAGGCGTATGGGACTTCCTGCAACATCATAGTACTGTTGGTTTCCAATAAAATAAATTGAAATATTTACCATGGTATTTTTTTTTTTTCTTTCTTAACAACTCTTACTGATCTCAAGGACTTGTAGTACTTACTGACTAATGCAATATTTCATACTTTGATAACATAATCAAAGTGATCTAACCACAGCCCTGTCAAGTAATTTGCACAATAGAGATGGCACCTTTTAGGTAGCGTTTGGTTTGTGTTTAGAATTATGATTTGAGTGTGGAGTTGTATTTTGAGCTTGTGAGTTTTGGAATTATGATTTGAAAAGAGAAAATTTGTTTGGTTATGAGTTTTGAATTGAGTGTTGAATTTTTGAAATGAGTATTGAGTTTGTGAAAAGTTATTTGATTATGAGTTTTGAAAAGAGTTTTTAAAACTTAATTTAAAAACTTATAACTCATAACCACCAAACAAACAACTCAAAACTCGATTAAAAATTCTATTCAAAGTTCATAACCAAACTCTTTTTAAAATTCAATTCAAAAAAATAATTATTGAAAAAAATAATTTTTTTGTTTAAAAAATTAAAAAAATTCTGATTTTTTTTTTTATTTAAAATATTAAAAAAATATTATTATTTGTTAACAAAAATGTTCAGCTAGTACTTTAAAATTACTTTTTATTGTATATTTGGTTGAAATTTTTTTTTAATTGTTTTGTTTAAAAATGTTTTTTTTTTAAAAAAAAATTATTGCGACAAATTAATTTTTATCTAATTTTTTTTTTGTTAATTTTAAATAAATGTCCAAATAATTTGTCATTTTGGTCTCAAAAAAATATTTTCTATAGTTAAAAAATATCAAAAACAAATATATATATACACATATATATATTTTCAAATAACAGGTGCCAATTGTTAAAAAAAATAAAAAAGAAAAACACTGTTGCGGACGACCGGATAGACCCAAAAACTTAAAAAACTGTCTAGGAGGATGTTTGGACTGACGACCGGGTAGACCAAAAATTCAAAAACTCTCTGGTTTACCAAACATGTTTTCAAAATGTGTTTTGAAATCATAATTTGAAAACTGTAATCAAACAAAGGGTTGATTATTAGTGTGGAATCATGGTTTGAGAATCAAACCAAACATAGCCTTAATTTTTCCAGAACATTTGAATAAAAAGGATATTACTTTTCTAAATCCTCTTGGGAATCAGCTTTAGGAAATCACCACAGAATATTGTCTTTTGTAGATTACAAGAGATTTATGCAATTGAATTATTTATTTTTTTATTTATTTTTTCCCCGTAACTTTCTATGGTTTGTAAACTTTAATTCAGCTCTCAAACTTAAAAAATTACAAATTTCTAATCAACTCCCAATCGAAACTCAAAAACTTGGTACAATAATGCAGGAGTCCTAAGAGCAATAGGATCTTTGATTACGAGGGCACCCTGTGATTGTGTTAGTCACATTTCTATTACCTTAAAAAATAATTGAAGTAGAAGGGTAGTTACTTGTTCCAGGGTGTAATGATTTTTTTTTCGCCTACTTTACTTCACCAACCGATGAATAATTTTTAAGTACTTGTGATATTCATGTTAGTTTTTCGTCCATCTAAAAGAGTAACCTTTGAGGTTAATTTCACCAGCTAGTTGTGAACAGAGAACTATTTTTATGTATTAGTATTGATCTTTCTTCTTATTCTTCTTTTAGGAGTTTAGTTTTTGCCCCCTCCTTTGGATGCATTTCAGTTGTGATTTGTTGATAATTTACTCAAAAACTTCATTTTCATTCACTTTTGATGAAGCCTTCAATAGCTACAAGAGTTCATTTCTCTTGTTTCCTTTAGTTGTGAAGCTGGTTTTGAAAAAGAAGTTTTCGTCTGATTGCAAATAGCTTTAGTTGCTTTTCAATTTAGAAAATTTGACAGGAATGTTTAAATCCAACAGATTTAATTCAAATTAATCTAAGCTATTTATCCAATTAAACTGAGCATATATCATGAAAAGAGCAAAATCACAAGAAGAGAGCCAAAGATTTACATTGAAACCCTAACTCAAGAAAAAAACCAGAGACACAAACTAGCCACTAGTAATTAATATCAAATGCAAAGCTTACCAAGATCCAGACTCACAGATACTACCTACTCATGCATTTGAGCAGTTTTGTAGATCAATCTGCCTCCACATCTGTCTCCAACTTGTATTACACCACACAAATACAATTTTCATTCTTCAAGCTTTATCAATTATGCTCTAGACCTATCAACCCTCACTCAAGTGCTATCGATGCTCAATGTATACTCAACTCTGTGTCACACTATAACAAATAAGTAAAGACATTTATAGGAAAGGGAAAACCTAAGGGAACAAGTATTTATTTGAACAAAAAAAAAAAAAAATCCCTAAGGGAACAAGGAATCAAGAACCACAAAGATTTTTTTGTTCTAGATATGCCAAGGAAACATGTTCCAGCAACATGCGTTCAAACAGTGCAATACCTTGTTCGAACAATGAGACAACTGTCTTACACTTGGTGCTTTAAAATGCAAATTCAGATGACGTATTTGAATGGACCAGTCTTGTGTTCAGTCGTGTAAGGTTAATGTTCTATGTGTCTCTGAAACTGCTTTCTCATTCAAATGTGCTCTAACTTTGCACGCAAAGGGTTTGCTTTCTAATGCACAATGGCTTTGCGTTCAAATAAGTACAAGTTTTAATGATCTGATCAACACTATGAGCTTAAATTCTCAAAGCCTAAAAGTCCATTATTGCATTCTAAAGTCAAGCCCGATGGCTAATTAAGTTACATGACAAATTTCATTATGAAACATGTTCAAGACTCAACCAAGCCTAAAATAAATTTACACATTCATGCTTTGGAATGAAATTGCCAACACAAAAATGACCAAGGGTTAGCTAGACATTTTTCCTCACAAATTGTGTTTGCATTTCTTTTTAATTGACCTTTTCTCAAATTTCTCTTAATATTTTGACTATCCGGAATGTTTGATGATTGTTTTATATTATTATCTCTATTATTCCCATACAATTGGATCATGGATTTCGGTAGGGATTTGGAAAGGAAAACGAAAAAAAGGTGGGTGAAAGATGAATGAAATATACCTACCTTTTCCCTTTCTTTTTCTGAATCCCTAACCAAATCCATGATCCTACCTTTTCTCTTTCTTTTTCCAAATCCCTAACCAAATCCATGATCCTAACACAGCCTTAGTATGCTGGATTTGATTTCATTATTAAAGCCCTAAGCTTCCTTTAGTTCCCTAGAATATAATGAATATCTTTATTTGGAAAACCTTATTTATGATAGGCAATTGATATTCTAAAATTCTTTGCAGGCCACCCATGGGTTCAAGTTGATGGTGTGGCTCCGGACAAACCTCTGGATTCAGCAGTTCTAAGTCGCATGAAACAATTTTCTGCCATGAATAAGCTAAAGAAAATGGCCCTCAGAGTAAGTCTCTAGATGGGCAAGACATGTTCTTGGAATAACTACCACTTGTTTATATCGAAGATCAATAGACAATTCAGGCTGAAATATTAGTCCTCAGGATTTCTGATACCAAACAAATATACTTTTCTTGCAGATTATTGCAGAGCACCTATCTGAAGAAGAAATTGCTGGCCTGAAAGAAATGTTCAAGATGATAGACACTGACAATAGTGGTCAAATCACTTTTGAAGAACTTAAGGCTGGACTGAAAAGAGTTGGCGCTAATCTTAAGGAGTCTGAAATTTATGATCTAATGCAAGCAGTAAGTATCAGATCAAAGGAAGTCTTAGTTATGTTTGAGGCAATATTTTCTTTGTAGTTGGAAAAAATGGTGTTTCTCAAATAGTTAAAAATCTATTAGTAAATAGCAGTATACAAAATGTAGCATTATTGATAAATCTGGATTGAGAATAATATAAATTCAAAGAGAGAGGAAGATTATTCCCAACAAAAACTTGATGTTGCTTTTGCTTTTCTTTATCTTTTTTTTTTTCTTTCTTTTTTGTCAATTTCCATCCATTTACACTTGAAATTTATGTTATCAAAAAACTACCTACCTATTTTAACCTAAGTAAATGAAGGGTTACATTCAATTGAAGAGTCATCAATTTGTCTGTTTCTTAAAAGTTTTATCTACTGGAAATTTGCACATGTACATTCAGATCAATAAAAACTAATGTTAGAGATTGTGTTTGTCAATGAATTTTGCAGAGAGCATAATTGCTTCTTTTGTCCTGCAAGTCAACTTGTATAGAATTAAGAGTGATCATTGAGTTAATGGTGGTTTCATCCCTTAAAAAGTATATATAATGAACCATACTCAATTTTTTGGGGGGGAGAGAATTCAACCCTATTGAGCGCAAAATTATCTGCTGGATTTGGGAGGCCTCTTACATTCTATTTTTGGAGCAACAGAGGATTAGACAGGTTCATCTCATAATCATTTTCATTGAGACTAAAATTAGGGTAATATCACATGATATGCTTAAGAGAATGACGTTGCCTACCCGGAGCAACAACATGGGTAAAGATGAAGTAGAAAGGGGGGAAAAAATCATAGTTTGCAGTAAATTGCTTTAGCCCTTTTATTCTTCTGCCGTTCTTTAGATTCCTTTTAGATCTTGAAAAGAAGGGAAGACAAAGAGAGTGCTTAAAGGTGAAATATTTTTTTGTAAAGCATGTATGAGCATGCTTCTTTTCTTTTCTTTTCTTTTCTCTGTCGAAGATTCAGACAGGAGCCTAAAGTTTTTGCTATATTGAATTTTGAGGCTTGTGTCTCACCTCGTACAGATCATAAAATTTTGATATGAAAAATCAATTCTGAAATTGAACTACATCCTATCAATTGATTAGCGATGCTCCTTTTGATATCTTGTTTTTCATTTTTACTTTTGCACTTATTTCCTTTGGAATTGATTAAGAAACAACATTGATGTAGTCCATGACATATTGAAATCTTTTATTTTCAATATGCCTAGTTCTCTTGAAAACTTTCTTCCTTGCAACATATGGATTTTCTTCATCTTGCACAACAGGAGGGAAAAAAGTGATATGATATTCCAAAGGTTGTGTTATCATCAATATTGATTAAAGTGTTTATGTTCTTAAAGCTTTCCTATGCAATTCAAACAGAGAATTTTTGTTTCTTTAAATTGCCTCTGATCCTGCTGCATTTTCTGAAATTGCAGGCAGATGTTGATAACAGTGGAACAATTGATTACGGGGAGTTCATAGCTGCTACATTGCATCTAAACAAGGTTGAGAGAGAAGATTATCTGTTTATGGCGTTCTCCTACTTTGATAAGGATGGAAGTGGTTATATCACCCCAGATGAGCTCCAACAAGCCTGTGAGGAGTTTGGCATAGAGGACGTCACCTTGGAAGATATGATCCGAGAAGTTGACCAAGACAACGTAAATTATTCATTTGCATAACATTACCACTTATTACTATATTATGAAATAGCGATTGGATAGTGTGGAAATAGCCATTCATCTTGACTGTTAAGGAATTCACTCAAATCCACAATGCACGGAACCAATAAGCTAAAATTGCCAAATCAACTTAAAACTTAGCCAAGTCTATTAATACAGTCAAGTTCTGAGTTCATTTGTTGAAAACTTATTCAAGAACACCTTTGACAACTTTGTCGACCGATCTGATCCATTGTAGTCACACCAAGTCATGGTTTTTCGATGATTTGTTTTTGAAATTTTGTACTTCACTCAATATACTTATACCAGACATCCATGGGCTTCCTCTCTTTTTTTTCCCTTTTTTTCTTTTGTGATAGGGGAGGTTCCCTTATTTGGATTCTAGGTATTTGAGTTTACTCGAGTTCGGTCCAGAGTTCTGGTGCGTTTTAAACCTATCACATTTGAATCCATAATTAATTGAAGGTCCGATTATCATATTGTCCTTGGGTGTTCTTGATTCCTTGTCTCGTAGGTGATATTTCCGTTCAAAGTTCATTTGTAACGGATAATTCTGTTATATTTGTGAAATGCAGGTTTCATGTGCTATATGATTTATCTGTGTTGTAATTCGATGTTTCAGGACGGGCGCATAGATTACAATGAGTTTGTGGCCATGATGCATACAGGAAATGCGAGTGGTGGTGGTGGAAAGAAGGGTCTAGAGAACAATTTCAGCATTGGGTTTAGAGGGGCATTATGACTATAGCAGCATATATAGGCTTTGGTGAGTCCTCTTTTTCTTTTTCCTGAAAGTATATTTGCAGTGTTAGCATTTTATAGTATGGAGCACCAGTGCTCGCCCACGAGGCAGCCTTGCTCTTTCATGTACACTCTCGAATCATTCAAATTTCCATTTTATTTTGTTTTGCGACTGAACTGAATTGAGCTCTATTATGTTATAACTTGGATACTTAGTCAATGAAAATGGCTAATTGGTTATTTCTTTTGATCCTTGTTCCTTCAAATTTTTATTCATTTTTTAATTGTCATTGATACAATGCGAAATTAATGTCTTGATATCTTCTCGTTCAGATTGTTTGGCATCTTTAGAAGCCCTTTACGTTGTGTTTGGTTGGAGGATTTGGGGAGGGATTTGGAAAAGGAAAGGAAAAAAGTGTGTGAAATTAGGTGAAGTCATATTTTATTCACATTTCACCTACTTTTTCTATTTCCCTTTCCAAATCTCTCCTCAAATCCCTCAACCAAACACAGCATTAGTATGGTAAAATTTTGCATTGTAAATTGCCTGCAGAATTGAAACAAACTTTTGGCAAGGTGATGGATGGACATTGCCAAAAGTTGCTCTCTCTTCGTCTCTCTCGTGATGCAGTTCCATGCAAGTTGCAGATAAGATGAGCAGTCGAGTTTTTTTCATGTTACTATCTCCTCTCTCCCCTTTCCAAGCCGCCGCTAGCTCTCTCTCTCTGTGCGCGTAGAGGTGGCAGCACCACCAATTGTTGCTGCAATATAGGCTTGTGCCAAGAAAATTCACAAAATATCAAAACACGACCTTTTTATCTATGAAAATAATTTACAAACAAAATTTCCTTCCCAAAAAAAAAAACACTTTATCAAAATGATGTCGGTGACAACGCTAAAATTGTAAGTTGTAAGAAGGGTGTTTTAGTTGGAATTGGAAATGAAAGGAGGATTAGGGGCACATCTTTTTGTATGGAAATTCTACAATCTTCTGTATACAAAGTAAATCAGTACCTAAAGTATTGTTCTTAGACAATGTAAACTATCTTAAATATTTAAGATCGAAGGTGAAGCCGAGATTTATCTTAAATATTACACGAGTTATATTTAAAACACACTGCACTTTTCACATTTTTCTGTTTTGATATCATTTATTCCTTAATGAATTGATGTAGTTGTATGCCTTATAAGTTTTCCCATGATTATGGAAAGCTAAATAGGTGAGATTCAATTACATTAATTTATTAAAGAATAATGATATAATTTTTCACTTTCAATTTGGGAAATGCTATGTTTGGCATAAGTTTTTTTTGGCTATTTTAACCACAAAAAGATAAAATAAGCTAAAAAGTCAATAAAATAAAATAGCACATCCATATCATAATTATTTTATTTTTCTCTCACAAAAGTTTAAAAAAAAACAAAAACAAAAACAAAACTAAAATGCCTCATCTCGAACGAGACTTTTTAGTCCCAAAAAGTTAAAAAGTTAAAAAATCAACCTACATCTCAAACGAAGGCTCAATATACTTCATAAATCAACGTAAATTTAGAAAATAAGTTAAAACACCAATAAACGGTGAAAAACAAAAAAAGCAACTCTTCATTTAAGCTATGACATAATTATTATAATTGTTATTAAAAAAATATACTAGTAAATTTATGTGAGAGGATAAAATGTAGATGTATAATCTCTCTTTTTTAATTGTATTTTATCGCAATATTATGTATATACCAGTTGAAAATGATATATAGGCCTCGTTTGGGAAGTGGCTATTTTAGTAGGCTATTTTAATTTTTGGCTATTTTAGTAGGCTAAAATTTTTGTATTTGGGAAGATGATTGGATTTTTTTGTGGTTGGATGTGATGTTTGTGAGAGAAAAAGTGAAATGATTATGGGTTTGATGTGATATTTTGTCTTAGTAACTATTTTAACCTATTTTGTCTTTTTGTAATTTTTAGCCTAAACTAAGCTATTTTTTTTCTTCCCAAACACCCCCATAAACAAATAAAATTTGTAATTTTTTACATATTGATGTTATACTTTAGTATCTGAAATAAAATCCACTCATCACTAAAATAAGTAACTTTTTTTGGTTAATTTAGATTAAATTACTTTTAACAATTTTCCATTTACTTTTGCAGGTAGCATTCAACAAGCAGCCCTACAATAACTATAGAATTTTTATATTTATTATTTGATGCAAATAAATTCATAATTATGAGAAATTATAATCTGCCCACTCTTCAAAACGGTGTGTCATATGCACCTCTTATTGTGCAAATTTTCTTGTTTAGTTATAATCAATTTTCTTATTTAGTTATGACATTATTTTAATTATAACTCATCAGATATTTAGTTATGTCTCATGTTGTGCTTAGTTATAACATTTTTTTTTTTATTGTTTTTAGTTATGACTCAGAAAGTATAAAATTATGTCATTTTCTTCTTCAATTATAAGGTACATATGGTATACATCTTTTGAAAGTGGTGTACCATAGTGTCTCTCTTTTACATTGATCTCCATTAAGGTTTCGTTTGGCATAAGCTATTTTGACTAAATTAGTCAATAAGAACAAAATAGGCTAATTTAGCCAATAAAACAAAGTGTCACATCTAAAATACAATCATTTAATTTTGGGTGCCTCTATTTACACACCACATTTAGTTTCAAGGCACACCATTAATTGATTATTTTTTATTACAATAATAACCTTACTTAAAATGACCAAAATGACCATAACTGAATACACACCATAGTTGAATACACATCCAAGCCCTAACCCTAGCCACCATTGCAAAGAATCCGAGCAACGGAGCATAAAAGACGCTCTGAGCTCAAAACACCAAAAACAAATTTTTGATTCAAGTACTAAAAAACAAAACCAATCTGTACAAACCCACAAATTTCAATCAAAAAAACAAAAAACCCAAAACACTAAACACAAATGAGTGAAAAAAAAAATAAAAGAAAAAAGGATTGGGTTTGGAAGCCCACTGCGGCAATTGCAGTGATAGCAGAGGCAAGCAAGTAGACGAAGAAGGAGATCTGAAAGCTCTGCTGCGAAGCATTCTGAGAAGCTTCGTCTCGAGCCCAAGGAGGAGGCTCGTTCGAGTTTGGTCTAGCTCATGAAGGTATTGATTCTTCTTCCTTCTCTTTGCTGGAGCCCTCGGTCACTGTAAAGACTGTCAATCTGCGAGAACGAGACGAGTTTTTCCTTGTAGTATTCTGAGAAATTTTTGTTGCAATGAGGAGTGATGGTGTGGGACAACATGGGTTGAGTTTGATTGAACCATAGATTGATGAATTAGAGGCGTGGAGAGAGGATGATAAGGCTAATGCAACCATGGATTCGAGAGAGTGTGTGATTAGATTTAGAAGAGAAAAATTCAGAAACACATTCTCTACACAAGCCAGAATTACAAGTGGAGAAGAGAGAAAGGCCTTTCCAAAGGCATATATTATCTTTTTGTTGGGTGGAGGAGAGGCGTTGGTCTTGGTTCACTACACTTCTTATCTCTGTCTAAGGAGGAGGAGGACTAGGCGAGTCTCGCCAGAGGGGGAGGAGAGCTATGGGTGGTTCACCGGAGAGTGACGGCGATCTATGAGGTGGTGGGTGTACTGCTGGTGGTAAGTTTGTTTTTTTGAATTTGAGGTGTGTACTAAATGGTGCGGAACTAAGGGCAAAAATAGAACGTTGTGGTGTGTGTTGAGAAAAATTATATTTTTTCAAATTATTAAAGGTGTGAATTGGGCAGTGGTGTGCCTTGAGAGCAAATATGGTGTGTAAATAGAGGCACCCTTTAATTTTCTCTCACAACAAAAAAAGTTCTAAAAAATAGGCTAAATTAGCTCGTTCTAAACAAGAGTTAAGTTTTACAAAAATTACAGTAAACTTTAAAAGTTAGACATAATCCTTGATTTTTAATTCACATAACACTTAGACTTTTTTTTTTATCAATAATATATAAATGAAAAAATTGATGTCAACATATTTTTTACATGAAAATGTATATTTTACGTTATTTTTTTTTAGTAAATTAAACAGACATCTCTTGAAATTTGAAGAAAAATCTCATAAATTTGACATAATTATATTAAGTTTCTTTAAGATTTTAGTTAATATAACACTCGGTCCTCTTTTCATCATAAATTTGTTATGAATGAAAAAAAATGGTATTATCATATCTTTTATAATAAAATGTATATTTTACCATGCACATCTTTGTGTCTTTATATCATCAGCATTAAGAAAACTGATGTAATTATGTCAAAACTGTAAGATTTGTTATATTTTCTCTAAACCTTAAAGGAGGTCTATGTAATTTGTTTTTTATTTTTGTATTTTCACACTATTTACATTTGTTTCGGTCTATTTAACTATATTAAAAGGGAAAGACTATGGTGCACATTCTTTAAATGGTATGTACTGTATGCACCTTACAACTATAGAAGAAAATTATATAATTTTATATTTTCAGAGTCATAATTATAAATAAATAAATAAAGGTCATAACCAAACAACACATGAGGCATAACCAAAAATTTCACGAGTCATAACTAAAATAAGGTTATAACTAAAGAAGAAAATTAATCATAACTAAAGGGAAAAATAACATAACTTAAGAGTGCATATAATAAGAAGTGTATGGTAGAATTTTCAATATTAAAATTAAGGTAGCTGTAATTATGTAAAAATTGTAAGATTTATTATAATTTATTAAAAAATTACAGTAAATATAGGATCATTCCCATACATTTCACATTAAAAAAAAAAAAAAAAGCTATCACACCTCTGATTCACCATCCTTTAGGGACGTTTGCTTGGAAGGATTGAAGTTTATGTCCACCATATAAAGTAATTTATTATTTGGTTGAAAAATTATAGATCGGGACTAGATTATTAGTCTCCCATATGTGGGACTATCTTGTTCTAGGAGGAGGGGTCACTGCTGTGGTTAAGGCACAACAGTGACTGTTGTATCTTAATATGAGATGTATTATAAATATATTTTTATGATCTAAACCGTTCATTTTATAGGGTTTGTTGAGTACTTCATTCCTACCAAAAATCATATTAATCGGATATCAATAAATATATGATCAAATAGTATATTTTTTATGCTATTTTTGAAAAGAAAAACTTATTATTTATTTTTTTGATTATCGATCATATAGTTATTGATATCCGATTAATATGATTTTTGGTAGACATGAAATACTCAACAAATCCTACAAAATGAACGATTCGGATAATAAAAATATATTTATAATACATCTCAAATTGAAGTACAACAGTCACTGCGGTGCCTTAACCACAGCAGTGACCCCTCTTTCCTTGTTCTAGGGGAAGGATGGGATACACAGTCCTTGGACATCCCTTTTCTGGATTAGCTGGTATGAATATTTAGAATATATTTGGTTTGGTTTCCAAAAATTATTTTTAAATTTAAAAAAAAATAAAAACAAAAACTAGTTTCATGAAGAAAATAAAAAAATAAAAAATAATTTTTAAAAAATTTAAATACAAATTTTGACAATCTTTTTAATGTTATATATTTCATTTAATAAAATAGAATAAAATTTAAAATCTCAATCAAAAAGTAAAATAAATTTATTTAATTTTTTTGTAAATTATATTCAAAAAAATAAAATAAAACTTATAAGTCAAATTTACTATTACCTAGTACGAAATTAAAAGGACAAAATAATTTTTTAAGTATTTATCATTCTTTATAATATTGTAACTAAACATAGGATTTAATAAGATAGTTATTTTTTAACATCTAATTTTATAGCTAAATAAATATAAAATACACATAATTTTTAATCCAATAATCCAAAGACTATGTATCTCAAAATTAACAATTCACTAAATTATAACTCCCTTTATTCAGTGCGTCCAAACAAACATGTGTGTGCAATGTTTTGAAAACCGGATCGATGAGCGAACCGAAAAAGAGACCGGGTGAACGGGTCACTGGTTCAACCGCCAGGTCAAAGTGGTTGAAAGGCGGTCGAACCGTGACGTCATAATTACATCATAAATATATTAATATATATTAAAAATATAAGTGTAAAAATGAAAAAAATAATTAAATTCAACAAAATAATAGGATTTTCAAAACTCACTCACAATGAAATTGTAATTTGTAATAATAACGTAACATACCTTATTTTAATTTGTTGAAGACCTTTCTCTAAATCAGTTGCGCAACACTTTTGGCAAGTAAAAATCACCGTACAATCTAGACATATATCAAAGTTAGAAAATAGAACATATTATAAATACAATCATAATAATGAAAGTAATAAAAGCATGGGAAAGTTACCAATAAATCCTATATGTTGAAATTGTGCTCCATTTAGTCTCAACTTTTTTTCTTTTGATCTATTTGATCCTTTCTATTGCTGAATGACGTAAATACCACTATATATTTTTCTGAATGCGTGAATAGGTGATTGTGTGGTGTGGCACAACCACATGTTGGTGTGTTTCCCAAATTGGTATTTGCCACGTGTCATATTCAGGGTGATCGCTAGGTGCCACAGCATTGGAAAGTTCACTAAGGCTTTTTGTGCTTTCTTACTTTGGGGGGCATGCTTTCCATGTGGCACACATAATCCTATTGATGAAATCCCCTATTGGGTATGGATTAGGCAAGGTTTGACAACCATAATTTCTGGCGATTGTGGATTAGGTAAGATTTGAAATCCCTAATTGTTGCGATTCTATTTGAATTATTTCCAAGAATTGAAAAGTTGTGATCGTTTGTATGTATGACATTGGAAGGTGATTAGTGGCACTACAACATAACGATAGTCGAAGGAAGTTCGCAAAGGGAACGAGAGAGACGTTGAAGGAGGTGTTTAGATTTGTCGGCCGTTGGAACGATGGGTGGGGAAGGTACATGACACCACTGTTTTTTCGCTGTTTCCATGGTCGATATGTTCCATGTATGGTTGAAACATTAGGTGGTTGTGGTTTGATGATATTTGTTTGATGTGTCCATATCAGATGAGTATTAATTGAAAAATGTCGATGGCATTGTGTGTGTGTGTTTGTATATTGCAACTTATTTACCGTGTTCTGTGTATATTGGTAAGGTGTATGTTTCACATATCTGAACCCATGTGTGTTGGGTGTGTCTATTATTTATTGGGTTAGTATATTTTGGGTGATTGTATGTTGTCGATGAATTGGGTTTTGCGATGTGCGTTGAGACAGTGTTACATTTTTATCCTGTTTCAATGTGATTTGTAGCAAGGGAGTTGTGGTGTTGTCAGGTTTGTGCAATCTTGTTGATGTATATGGTATGTGGCACGTGGGTCCGACTCAATTGGGGTGTGTGGGTACTTTGTGTGTATTGTGATTTTATGATTCACGTTGTTTAGTGCCGAATGTGAACATGTCAAAAGTGCTTTGTGGTGATGACCACTGTTGCTTATATGTGTGGTTTTGTTTAGTGCAATGATCTTGTTTTTTAGTTTTGTGTGATGTGTGTGAAAATATGTTGTGGTGTGTACACATGGAGTGTTGTTAAATTTTGGGGTTTAAGCGATGTAAGAGATGTGAGTGTGAGTATGGAAACAGGTGTAAATAGTGCCAATTAGTATGTAGTGGAAGTAGTTGGTATATGTCATATGTTTACCGAACAATGGGTACATTGTTTCTGGCATGGTTTGCATTGGATGGTTGTGAATTGTCTAGTGTTAATAGTGGACATGGTTTCCGCTGTTTGTATTTAAGTTTGTCCGTAATTATTGGTTGGTTGTGTGGGCTGGCTGTGTGGAATTTCAGATGTCGCTTCATGTGTTTATATGTGTGACGTTGCAACATTATATCTGGCAGGGTTGTTTAATCGGGCTGGGGTGTCATGCATGTTGTTTGTATTTATGCGTTGTGGAATTTGTATGTTGGTTATGGTGTGTTATGTTATGTACTGGTAGCGAATTAATATGTTATTTGTGCTATTACAGATGTTGACATTAGCTGGAGTCCGTGGGCGCATTCATGTGAACGAAAACATCTCAAAGGTGCATGTGATTTAAAACCAAACAGGCTTGGTGTTAACATGCAAGGACGCATATTGTTCAAGAAATCTAAAGTCATCTAGCAGGAAGTTAGTGAACGAGGTGTTAATCATGCTGGCCTGCCGTCATGCAGTGCACCTACATGGATTAATTTCCGTCCAAACATTGCGGGCATTGTTAAGCTTGTAACAACATCGCCGTTGAGGGGTGGTCATTTTGAATAGTTGAAAAAGACTTTATTTTGGATCATGATTGAGGCTCTGCGAATAAACAAACTGAATCACAATGATTTTAGGAAGTTTGACGATGCAATTTTGAAAATCATACGAACGTACGACAAAAATTATGACGCATTCAACATTGGTGGGGAGTTGTTGAAGCTCTGTAGGAGTGGTGTAAGACTTTTGTTTTGGGATCCAGTGTGGTACTAAGCATCTTGATCTCTCCCCTTGTCAGAGGCCGACATCTGATTTCATTCAGCAGAGAGGTCATAACACCGTAAGCATAACATCGAAGATTATGAAGACATTGCTCGAAGAAGCTGTATGTGGGCGAAGTAAGGTAGACGAGGAGGACGCAACGAAGTTGTTGACACTGTATGTGTATGGGAAACTGTTCTTTGCTAATTCTAGGGAAACAATAAGTTGGGCATTTGTGCAACACATTGATGACCTGAAGACTGTTCGTGCATACAATTGGACTGGTGCAATACTACAAATGTTGATGGGTTTAATCAAAGATTTTCACCATACGTCGGAAAAGGTCACTGGATGTGTTGTTATCATGCTGATATGTAGTGTTCAATGTTTTGCGACTATTTGCATTGTTTTACCCATGCTTTTGTTGTTTTGCTAACGACGTAATGTAATGATTTTTGTGCCTGAAACACAGTATTGGATCTGTGAACATTCCATGATAGTGAAGCCAGAAACGGAGAATATGTTCCCAAGATTCCTGAAATGGGACATTTGTAACAACCCCGACCCATGATTAATGTTAATCCATGCTTAATTATGTCTAATAAGTAATTAAAGTGAAATTTTGCATTATATGTTGCCTTATTTGTGTTATATCTATTTAACGTAGAAAGACCTATTCATGTTTTCGTTTCGATTTGCGAATTGAAGGCCTTATCAGCATCTGATTCAGAAATTGACTTGAATTATGTGTTATTTGGGATTTTTAGAATTTTATGGCAAGTTTAATTGAAATTCAGTTCGGAACAAATTAATTAGAATAAATTAATGGTCATTGCTTAGATTAATGCAAGTTTAATTAATTCCCTAAACAAACCTATGTAAGGCTACCCCTCAACACCTCTTATACACTTTTGCACCCTCATTTCCTCTTCCTTGAGCTTAAAATGTGTAGAGAGAGAGACTAAGAAAGAGTTGAATTCAAGCAAAGGAATTGCTAGAAAACTTGGAGATTGGCTTGGAACTTCAAACAATTACCTCTATAGAGCATAATTGATCATCTAAGGTAAGAAATTCAACCTCTTAGTTTGGGATTGAGTCACTTAGCACATGAGTTCAAAGAATTAAGTTGTGTAATGCTAGAATTGAGATGAAATGAAGGAATTTAGATCATACCATTCATGCATGTTTATATCATGGCATCTTGAGGAAGTTTTCAAAGAATTCTCCCATCCATGTTATCATTTTACCTTAGCTTTGAGAATTCATCTTGTTTTCCATCAATTCATCTCATTTGATCATGTTTTGAAAGCTTTAAACTTGCACCATTACATACAAGATAAGCAATGTTATGTTTTCAAAGATTTGGATTTTGTTTTGGTCTTCAAAGAATTAAGTTGTGTAATGCTAGAATTGAGCTGAAATGAAGGAATTTAGATCATACCATTCATGCATGTTTATATCATGGCATCTTGAGGAAGTTTTCAAAGAATTCTCCCATCCACGTTATCATTTTACCTTAGCTTTGAGAATTCATCTTGTTTTCCATCAATTCATCTCATTTGATCATGTTTTGAAAGCTTTAAACTTGCACCATTACATACAAGATAAGCAATGTTATGTTTTCAAAGATTTGGATTTTGTTTTGGTCAATTGCCAAGCTTTTGAGCCTCGATTTTGTGAAATGATTTTGAACTCACCATGGTTTCACCATTTACAAGTGTTTCTTATAGTTTCCTCAAGTGTTTGACCCAAAAGACCATGTTTTACAACCTTGAATTTGAGTTTTGAGTTAAGAAGAGCAATCTGGAAATTCTAGAATTCTGCTATTCGCTAGAGTGCCGGAATCTACGCTCGAGCGACCACTCTATAATCTTACACTTCCGCTCGAGCGACCTGAAGTCTGCTCCAGCGTAAAATGCATGCTCCCAGAAGTTTGCATGTTTTGCAGATCGCTTGAGCGACAAGAGTTACGCTCGAGCAAGGGCATAGGTCTCACGCTCAAGCGAGAGTCAAGCGGCCATTGAGTGGAGATTTCACTTAACTAGTATTTTTTCAAAGTTCACAGACTGATCGAGCGAGGGAAGTTGTGCTCGAGCGTCTCCTTACGTGTTTGCAAGTCCGCTCGAGTGTAGGAAGTTGCGCTCGAGCGTGACCTCTGTTTTTTGCAAGTTTTGTTAAATGTGTTCTAGTGTATTTTAGCATCCTCATCGCATCCTAAGCACTCCTAGGCCATGATTAAGACTCAATAAGAGGTTAAGACTTAGAAACATCCAAGTATGAAACGAAAGAAGTTAAGTACCAACTGAATGTGTGTTTCTACTTTGTGTGTGTAGGTCACGCGCCACAAGTTATTTGATTTGTCTGTTCTGCAAGCGGAGTTATCTGTGAGTAATAACTTAGTAAATCTATGTTTAACTTTAATTATTTCCTAAATGATATGAATTAAGATCTGTTTATGAAACGTTATATTCCGTGCAATAAATGATTGTCTAAGTTTCTGAAATGTATTCGTGGCATTCTTAGCACAAGGCCATTGCCCGGGGGTAACAATACCGTGTCTTTATAAGCAAGGCCTTTGCCCGGGGGTAATAATACCGTGGTTTCATGACCCTTACCCGGGGGTAACAATACCGTGGTTCAAGTAAGTTACAAGTTTCCCAATACCGGAGGATCCTAATGGAACTATCAAGCAAGTTAATGCTAATATGGATGTACCATGTATAATGAAGCATGAACTCTGATTTCTGTATATAGTTGAACAAGAACATGAATATATCTGATACTAATATGATCTTTGATTCAATACTTGATATAGACATTATTCATTTAAAACTCTTTACTTTGTTGTTATTCACTAAGCTCCCGCTCACTATTTATTTTATGTATGTAGGTAAGCAAGCGCGTGACCAGGCTTAAGTTGTTGCCTGGAGTGTTTGAGTCAGCCAACCACTGTACCTCCTGGAGAGGTTCCTTTTTGAAGAAGTCAAGTTTTGTAAACCTAATAAGAATGTTTTCACTGTTTGTTTTGTTTATCTGTATATAGAGACAAGTTTTCCTTTTCGGTTACAACGGTGTATGTGGTTGACGTAAAACTATTGTGTTAAGACACATATATATTCGAAAGTTTCTATCTCATATACGTTATCACAGCTCTATGGACAATGTATGTTTCTATAATTGCCTCTGCAGCCCCTTATTATATGTCATTTTGTTAAGAGGCCTTTGGTAATCCAAGGATTACTGGCCGGTTACGATACTAAACCTATAGGAGCGGGTTTGAGTCGTGACAGAGTGGTATCAGAGCACGAGTTATACCGCACACACGAGTCCATAAGAGCTATAGGATGTCCTAAAAAGAATTAGGAACATTTCATCAGCATGTGTGAGTGTGTGGTAATCTTTATAAATGTGAAAACTAAATTTAAATCTGAACAAATGAATTGAAAGAAATGAACAAGATTATTCTTATGTTTATTATTACTTGGTGTCTCTATAGCAACATGGAGAATACAATGGAAAATGATACAAGTGAACCTTCTAAGGCCCGAATGAACAAAATGGAACAGATGCTTGCGACTTTGACTAAAGCCATGACGCAACAATTTAGACAACAACCTTTACGTCCTCCACCAATTCCAGTTGAACCGGACAATAAAGACATCATCAATTTGACTAAAAAATTTATGAAAATAAAACCGCCAACCTTCTTTGGTGGCATTGAACCATTGAAGGCAGAAACCTGGTTGCTAGAAATAGAAAAGTTATTTGAAGTGTTCCCTTGCTCCGCAACTCAGAAAGTACTCTTGGTCGCCTACACCCTAAAGGATGAAGCCCAGAGATGGTGGTTATTGGTCCGAAATAACAATGAGGATATGACATGGGCTCAATTCAATGAGATATTCTACAACAAGTACTTTTTCCAATGCTTCAGAGATCGAAAAGTGTCAGAATTCCAAGAACTCAAACAAGGTAGGATGTCAGTGGTCGAATATGAGGCCAAGTTTACTGAATTAGCTCGTTTTGCCCCACACATGGTGGATACCGATTATAAGAAAGCACGGAAGTTCGAGGAAGGACTAGACCTGGAAGTATTTGATCGAGTAGGCGTCTTGAAATTGCCTACTTATGTGGAAGTGCTTGATAGAGCATTGATGGCAGAGGCCATAATAGCAGCCAAGAAACAAGCTACAACTCCAACGATTGAATGGAGAGGTAAAAGGGCCGGATTCAATTTCAAGAAAGGCTAATCATTTTCGAAGAAGCAAAATACTGGATCGTCAAGTAATTCAAGTCAAAGTAGCGGGTCTATGCCAAATTGTCCAGAATGCGGAAGAAAACATAGGGGCATGTGTCACCGTGCATCTGGTGCTTGTTTTCGATGTGGCAAGATGGGCCACATGATTAGGGATTGCCCAATGAGACTCGACATGACTACCCATCCTGCAGCAAGTTCAGCTGGGTCTACTCCTGCACCAAGAACTAATGTAAATGCCAATACTGGGGGAGAAACTTTGAGACAAGGTTGGGTTTTTGCATTAATACCTGGGGATGTACAGAATTCTGAATCAGTGGTGTCAGGTATAATCTTTATCTGTGCTCAGAATGCTTATGTGCTGATTGATTTTGGTTCCACGCATTTATTTGTGTCGCATGCTTTTTCTCGAAAATTAACTAAACCATTAGAACCTATGAACCGTTTACTATCTGTATCTATACCGTTTGGGGGTTTTATGATATGTGCTTATGTTTACCTGACATGTGATATTTTGATTGGTGAAATGACGTTGTATGTTGATTTGTTGCCCTTGAGCAATAATCCTTTTGATTGTATCTTGGGTATGGATTGGTTGACTAAATATTGTGCCACTATTGACTGTGTAAGTAAATCTGTTGTGTTTAGACCACTTGGTATGCTTGAATTCATTTTTACTGGAAAATAGGGTAGTCCCTCCACTGTACTTGATCTCATTTATGAAAGCCAGGAAATTGTTGAGAAAAGGTTGTCGGGGCTACTTGTATTGTGTATTGACTGTGTCTTCAGATAATACTAGTGTGGAAACTACTCCCGTGGTTGGTGACTTTCCTAATGTGTTTCCTAATGACCTACCCGGGGACTTAATGGATAGGGAAATTGAGTTTACGATTGATATAGTACTAGAAACACAACCTATTTCCAAGACCTCCTATAGAATGTCAACTTTTGAACTCAAAGAGTTGAAAACTCAACTCCAAGAACTCATAAACAAGAAATTTATCTGCCCAAGCACATCACCTTGGGGTGCTCCAATCTTATTTGTAAAGAAAAATGATGGGTCTTTGAGGTTATGTATACACTATCGTGAATTAAATAAGGTAACTGTGAAAAATAAATGCTCCTTACCCCGAATAGATGACCTGTTCGACCAACTCCAGGGAGCCCAAGTGTTCTCTAAGATAGATCTTAAATCCGGGTATCACCAGTTAAAAGTCAAGGCAGAAGATGCAGAGAAAACAACATTTAGAACTCGATATGGGCACTATGAATTTTTAGTCATGCCATTTGGAGTAACAAATGTGCCCGCAGCTTTTATGAACTTGATGAATAGGATGTT